AGCTGGTTGATACGACAGATATCTTGTCCATGGTGTGATTGCGCGTCGGATCCAGTTTGAGCTGTGGCCTCGGGAAATAGGAAGTTATATCATGGCCCATTGATCCTCAAGCCAATCCATCAACGATCTAGACACATAATCAAAGACCAAAGACCAAAGCGGATACGTCGCCTCCCATGAAGAGCGTTTGTCCATTGCCAAAGTTATACCGATATCGTGTCATTCTCAAGTGCTATGAGGCGGCAAGTCCTCTCCCAACACACTTACGCGTCCCGGCTCAATCCTCCACAGTGTCAACATCAAGTAGTGTCATCTTCTTCCCGCCTTGTTTCTCTGCTGTGACTTCCGAGTAGCCCATCGAATCAACATCGTCAAGGTGCCAAAACATCGCCACAAAGAGAATGAAACCAGATGCCTCGAAATACATGGGAAAAACTTCAGGTAGCAGGAGCAGACAGAGGAGCTCTGTCTCCACGTGAGGAGAGGACACATTGACAACCACAGCATGTGCCACAAATTGTTTTTCAAACCTTACTTGTGTTGATGGGTACGTGTTCGCCAGATACGTGTGGCACTTGCATGTTCTACAATCTTCATCGTAACACGTCCATGCAACTATAGATTCGTGGCGGCCAGATGCAAACATCAGACTGGTGCCTGTCAACTATACCCTGAAAGTTGCGAGATATTTGCAATGATGAACGAGCCATGTATTCATCTAGACTCTGAACCCAGTTTTGCCACCATGCAAAACGCCCGACAAAGAAAATATCCAAGATGTCTATTCATACACGACGTAAAAGTCTTTCGGTATCCTCCGCCACATTACAGCCTTACAGCTTCATACCCAACGCCTTGTGCACGCGCATGCTCTGCCTGATACTGAGATCCAACATAATCTCCTCAGAGCCACCGGGGATGGCGTAGGCACGGACATCACGGTACAGCCGCTCGACCTTGCCACCCTGGCCGCCGCGGGAGTACGACAGACCACCAAAGATCTGGGACGCCTCACGCGCGCAGAACTCGAAGGTGACAGTGGACTGGGCCTTGAGGGAGGCGATGGCACCGCCGAGCTTGAGCATGGCCTCGGTCTCGCCCATCTTCTCGCACTGGAAGACGACGTTCTCGAGCCAGTTGTAGGAGGCCTCGATCTGGCGCGCCATGTGGGCGAGCTTGAGGCGGATGACGGGGTGCTCGATAAGCTTCTTGCCGAAGGTGCGGCGCTTGTTGGCGTACTTGACGGACTCCTCGTAGCAGACGCGAGAGAAGCGGAGGCACTGGATGATGATGCCGATACGCTCGTGGTTGAAGTTGGTCATGATGACTGCGATTGTTAGCTGGGTTCGCTGCCGCAAATGGGGTTGATAACATACCTCTGAAACCCTGGTTCTTCTTGCCGAGAAGGTTCTCGACGGGGACCTTGACATCCTCAAAGGTGATGTAGGTGGTACCGGAAGACCAGACACCCTGGCAGTCCATACGTCTTGTCGTGACACCGGGGCCTCTCTCGATGAGCAGCAAGCTGACGCCGTTCATGCCGGGACCGCCAGTGCGGACGGCGGTGGTGAAGTAGTCACACCAGATACCGTTGGTAATCCACTTCTTCTCGCCGTTGACGATGAAGTGCTTGCCGTCCTCGCTCAGCTTAGCCTCGCAAGTCAGGTTGGCGACGTCAGAACCAGCATCGGGCTCGGTGATGGCCAAGCAGATGCGCTTGTCACCGTTGAGGATACCAGGCAGGATGCGGTCGACCAGAGACTTCTGGCCAAACTTGACGAGCGGCGGGCAGCCGATGCCGAAACCACCGATGACGTTCCAGACGAAACCTCCAGAGGCGGAGCGGGAAAGCTCGTCGGTCAGGAGCATCTCGTGGAAGAGATCCCAGTTGTCGGGGTGTACGGAGGCGACGGTGTTCTTAGTGTACTGGGTAGGGTAGTGGACACCCAACAGACCAGCCAAGTAGCCGCGCTCGCCCATCTGCTTGTAGATCGCGGGGTCGACCTCCTTCTTCTCGTCCCACTCGGTAACGTAGGGCTCGATGTTGTTGGTCATCCACTCGCGGACCTCGGCACGGAGAGCGGCGTGCGTCTCGTTGAAATAGGGGGAGTGGTGCTTCATGGTGACAGTTAGAACAAGCCATTCACACCATCTTTGGAGGCCGACTTACTGCGTGGTACCAGGCCGGGTCGGCGTAGGGGATCATGTCGCCAAAGGGGTCCAAAGGCTCCGACTCCTCAGTCTTGGCAATGACCTTCTTCTCGGCCTTCTTGGTGGGCATGGGAGCGGCGACGGCGGCAGAGGGCTCGGCGGCCTTGGGCTTGGAGTCGAGGGAGCCGACCTGCAGCTTGGCCTGGTACTTCTTCAAGATGCCCTCGTTGTGGTACTTCCAGAACTGCTTTGAGGCGTCCTTGCCGGCAACACGCTGGAGGATCTTCTTGCCGCCTGGAGACTAGTTAGCTGACGCCGCTCACGACGTGGGATGGACGGCAGAACGCACCAGGGTGGTCATCCTGGAACTTTGTGAGGTCGTAGACGTCGCCGTCGACGATGATGAACAAGTCCTCGGGCTTGTTGTGCGACGCGACGTCGCTGGTTGAGAAGATCTTGGACATGGTTGCGATGCGAGGGGAGCTGTCGTCGGATGATGGGATTGATGGGTATCTGGACGGGTAGGGAAGAGAGACAAGGTTCCTTTCAAGACAGACGAGGGGGGGACGGTGATGTTTAAAGACAATGGCGTCGAGTCGTGCGTGGCACAGGGGACAAAGTGTTAAAGAACGAGTCGCGACGGCCACGGTCGGCAATGGGGATGGGCTTTGGGGGTGGTCAAGGCGATCACATGCTTGCGGTAAGGCTTCCGCCGTGGACGTCCATCAGTGCCTCAGTAGTAGTAGTAGTGTACTAAGGATGCTGGACCTCAGGACTCAGGAGCGGACACAGCCGCACCCAGTTGCAGCTCCCTCATGGCATCCGCAGCGCGAGAGGTACCTCCGCACCCGTACGATGCGGGGGAGTACATGGCGCCATGTCGAATACAGGCACAATGTCCGCCGTGCAGCGGCACCCCGTGGCCCCCACAATCTTTACGACGCTCTGCAGCATGGAAACGCTGGTCTCGGGGCAGCGAGTGTGGGGAAACCTGCTGAACCATTCCTCGGTCAGTCGCTAATTGCTCTTTTCTCAGTGGCGGACGCGTTCCGCCTGCTTTTAGCACCATCACTGGCGAGCATCCGGAGGCTGGGGCCTTTCTTTCGCTGGTGCAGCCAGATAGCCTTCCGCTATCCCCGTATTGTCGACTGGTTTTGGCGCTAGGCGTGTCATGTGCACCTGTTTCCTGCACCTGTCTGACCAGTCAGTGCCCCCATTGATTGAATTTCTCGTTGCGTTGGCCGTTCCTTTGGGGGTTGCGTTGCGTCCGGGGGCGTCGCATGTGATTCTTTTCTCTGTTTCGGGAACGTCGCTTGCTGATGTCATCGACCTGCTGTTTCCAAAAGTGGTCCTGGACCTCGGCATCTTTTTTGGGAGCGCCCTCTTTGACCAATGAGCAGCGCGGGGTTGGTCAGGTGGATCCACTTTACCATCGTCCCGCTGTTTTGCTGCCCGTGGCACGGCGACGCGCTCCTGGAACGGTAAGGACGCACACCGATGGTGAGGCATGCACCCCGAGTAAAGCACATGATGCCCAGTCAACCATGGAAGAAAACGACAAACCCCATGGGCAAAACTGAGATTAGGGTAGCATGCCGACAGATTACCCCGTACAAAGCACGTGGGCGGTCTGGAGTAGCGAGCGATCAGTGAAATAGCCGGGAGGTTGGATCTCGACCGTCGATTGATGGGCGCCGGCCGTTTGAGGTCTCGACCCCCGTAGCCGGCAACCAGCGCTGCCACCCGGCCGACGCCTCGTCCGGTGTCTTCCCAACCTCATGTGTGGCTGTCATGGACGCCATCATCGATTAAATGGCACCCAACTTAGTGCGATTGATATTTGCGCTGGGCCGCCAGAAATGGATTTCCTCAGTTACAGACCACCCTAGTAAGCACTGCGGTCAGGAGCGAGAAACAAATTACACTGGAAAAAGGATCGTGATTAACCTAGTTTAAACCTGACCCATTTAACAGCATAGGCTGTCAAACACTCTAGACACATCTTATGCACGGCTTGAGATCGTGGTGGTGGAAGATACACCCACTGACTGCCAAGTTTGTTATCTTTCACAGGTCTCAACACGTCCGATATCTTGGAATCCCTGCCGTGAGCCTCTTCGTCCAGCACGCCCAGTCCCTTCCATTTCTACATCTATCATCCCAACACCAGAGAACGTTCTTGGATCTATAGCCCTGGGTTGCATCATAAGAGGCCTGATCAATCTGGCGCACCACGTCCTCCATGCACGACTTTGTCTTGACGTCCCAAAGCGCCCGACTACGACGCCCGAGGAAGACCACGCCGCCGTCTCTCGCCCAGTGGTATACAGTACTGCAGTGTTCGCAGCTCACAGAATGCTGCTCCAGCCCCTTCTCCCACGAGGCGGGAATGAACGATCCCTCAGCAGTCTGCGCCGAGGCTGCGTTGCAAGTTGGTATGGATTTACCGTTGGGTCCTGGCATCGAAGACGCCCTGGTACTGCTGCCGCTGATGCGAAGATCCATCCCCAGGCAGCTGCAAACTCGCGGATCGAAGCACTGCAGGAGGCCGCGGAAGTCGAAGTGCGGACAGAGCAATCCTCGTCCATGTCTCTTGCCAAATTCATTGAGCCGGTCCAGTAGAAATGTGTCGGCGACCGGATCCTTGCCCAAAGTGAAGACGGGAAGGGTCCATTCGAACAAGACAGTGCGGCTGATGATTGAGATTGACGGCGGGACGATGCGGCTGTGCTCCCTCGCGGCGGGAACACCAGTATGACATCGCTTCGCACATCTTTCACACTTGACGAATTTCATCTGTATACTGTAATCTTCCAACAGCGCACTCTTCCATCGGTGCTCAAATTGTCTCATGGAGTAAGAACGATGCGGGCAAAAGCTGACCCTGGCTGAATGATGAAGGAAGCATTTCGAAGAGTAATCGGGAAAGTGCAGCAGCGGGTAATACCGCCGGCAAGCAAGGCAATACCTATCTTCACCGCTGCGAACCTTTGTTAGACAAGCATTACAATGCCTATCGCCGCATTTCGTACCATCAAGTTCAGAAAGCCGACACGTGTAGTCATCGTTCCATCGCCACAAGGCATTCTTGGAATTCTTTGCGTCCGCCACGTAGCAGTCTTCGCACAAGTTCACACGCGTTACCCGCGGTATCAGCCTACAAAACCAGCCGTAGAGACCTCCCGGAGTTCGGTAGTTGAGGTTGAAGCAGATCAAGTGTCGGCCCCGAATCTTCCGGATGATGTGGGCGGCCTTGAATGCGCTGTCCTGGAATAGACGGAAAAACGTGAAGCAGGTCTGGCGGAGCATGTACAAGTCATGCGGCGGCGTCTTGCGCATAATGTTGACGAGAAGCTCTTCTGGAAGTTGCAGCAAGCGGCATTCCCGCATGTTGCGTATGTGGTTATTGTTCCACGTCGATAGTTGAGGATAGCTTGGTTGAATCTCTGGGCCCTCCGCCTCTGGACACTCGCGAAGACTGGTTTCCTCCATGCGAGCTTCCATGTCTACTTGTCGGGCCTCTTTCTGAGTGACTTGGGGTCGTTGTTTTGTCTTCGGAGCTTTTTTCTTTCTCTTATTCAATCTGGCGGCCTTCTGGCGCAAGATATGCAGCTTCATTATGAAAAGATGTTTAGAGGAAACTTGAGCAGACAGTTGATGGTGCAACACAGCGGTAGCAATAGTCGCCTCGAGCTTGCGAATGGACGTTGTCTGCCTTCAAAGTTGTATCCTCCTAGAAAGCTCAAAGCTATGTGTCTTCATTGTCAGACAACTCCGAAGGGTAAGGTACTATCAATGTCTCTAAGTACGTCTATGTACCCCAGTGGAGCCTTTGGGGTCAGGGATGTCACTCAAGTCCTCGACACATTAGAAAGGCAGATCGTGAGTGTTTGGCAACCTCGCAAAGATAAAACAATACTCCACCGTCAACAAATGCGTTTGGAAGTCGCAAGGAGCTGACTCAAAATGCTTCCCATCTCATTGGGCATCTAATTGGACATGTCATTGCGAAAGTTAGAAAGACAGGAGCCTAAAGGCTACGTGACCTAATTTATTGTGGGTTTTCTCGTGCTGAGACGCAAAAGGTTGCTGAAAGAAACCCAAGGCATGACTTCTAGGGCCCGGAAACCCTTAGTATGCGCAATCTCAAAAGGTATGATCAGAGTTCAAACCTTTCTGCGAAGACAACCTTTGTACCCCTTCAAATTCTTTCTCCGAGAACACCCACACTGGATGGGCTATAAATCGCCTCAACACGAATTGTTTCTTGACATCTATTCGACGCCTTGAGCCAACTATCAGACTTCCAACTACCCCGCCGTTTCGGAACACCTTATGATTGTACCGGCAATATGTTTGATTACCCGATGGAACCCCTATCGATAAAGCTCTTTCTGATCTTCTTTGGCCTGGAAGTTGTATGTCAGTTCCTTGAAAGGCGTTATCCTTCCAAATGGGATCCATCTCTGGAAGAAGACACGGCACAAGAGCAACACGCCCAAGAAAGACCTGCACACGTTTCCCCTCGAATCCCATCAAATGAAAGTCGAAACAATGATACGTTGCAGTTTGCAAAACGGAATAACACAGGGGCCAACTCTCCTGCGGAATTATCTAGCAACGAGGAGGCCTTGAGAGAGCTGTATGCGCCAGGAGAGACCAGAAGAGAAGCGCGCCCAGATATTAAGGAGGCCTTGAGAGAGCTGTGTCAAGCGTGCGCATATATAGAGGAGGCCTTGAGAGAGCTGCGTGAAGCACGCGCACATATAGAAGAGGCCTTGAGAGAGCTGCGTGCGCCAAAGAGGCCAGAGGAGAAGCGCACGCAGATACAGAGGAGCTCTTGAGACAGTTATGTGCGTAGGCAGAGGCTAGAAGGGAAGCGTTCGCGTGAGAGGGGCTTGATATGTCTTTGCAAGGGACCTCCACGCGCGTGGTGAGTCGCCTCTTGACAAATAATGTCACAGTCCAATAAACGGAATAACACGGGAGATAGCCCTCATGACGAATTATATGTCGACAAGAGGAATACGAAAGCAAGTTGCAGCTCTTTTGAGAACACACGTTCAGTAGATATCATCCCTGTTCCACTATCGCTGCCTATAAAGCCTTTGGTCCTGGTACCCTAGACTCGACAACACTCTCTATCCAAGATGCCAATCCTCCCTATTGAGAAATCCAATCTTAAATAAGAGAGGGGGCTTCACCCGCGTTTTCGACGAAAATCCACAGCCAGAGGCTTAATCCATCAGAGGTATACCGTATTGTGAGATATTCAATATTCAATCACACAAGGTAGCTCTAGCAAGCCCCCAAACAGCAACATGAGATCCATGCACCTTTTGCGTGTGAAGACTCAAGAGGTATGCTACAAGCTTCAGATCCTTCCGGAGAAATTTGTTTCAATCATTTAAAAAGTCTTTCAATTTCCCATTTGATGAATTTTGTCGACCAACAAAGCTGCAACTACTCAACCCGTCGCTTTGGAACATCCCCGCAAGCGATATCGCCGTCACCCAAACGACATGGAGAATTACCTCATCGCAAATTCGCCGGTATGGATCTTCCTGGCTGCGCTTGGGCTCTGCTTTCTAAACGTTGCTTGTATGGCTTTCTACGAGTTTTGCCTTTGCAGATGGTTTCCATCTGTGAGAAAAGGCAAGGCCCAACAGCAACAGGCCCAAGCAAGCTCTGCCGAACGACCCCCGCCATGTTCTCCAAATGGGAGTTTGAAGAGTGGTGCAATACAGCTCACAAAGTGGGCAAAAGCGAAAGGCACCTCTCAAGACACGTCAACGGACAAAGACACGAATCTGAAGGAGAGTCCTAGCCCTCTGAAGCTGGCAGCTCGGTTAGAGAACATCCCCGTCCAGTCCTCGCTGCATATAAAACCCGTGGCCCTGGTTCCCGAGACTCGGGAAGCTACTCTCTTCACAATGCAAGTTCCCCCCATCGAAAAGCCTATCGTAGGCAAGGGGATGCTTTCTGTACCCAAGCTTTCGAGCTGGGAAGTTGCATTCGATGGAAATCGTCGGAGGTCTCGAATCTTGCAGCTGCCTGACGAGATTCTGTTTGAAATCATGCAAATGGTAAAGCTCGACGACTTGTACATGCTTCGCCAGGTGTCTTGCACATTCTTGCGCATTTACAATGACCATACTTTCCAGACGCTTCATCGGAAAGGCAGATCCAGAATCTTTTGGCAATGGCAATGGCAAAGTCACCGAGACGGATTTGAACTTGACCCGAAGACAGTAACGAGAGCGAGGCGAAACGTATTCTGCGATCCTTGTTTCAAAGTTAAGGAATCTGAGGAGTATCGGAGTCGGTTGAAAGAAGTGCAAGATTACATTCACTGTTCATTCTGCAACACTTCGCACAGGAGCTTTGAGTTCTCCGCGGCGCAGCGTTCTAACTCCAACGAGGTGCGACAATGTATTTTGGCCGAGGGATTCATTTGGCTCTGTCCGCACCGCAAAGTGTCGTTCAGATCTGTCAGGAAACTCGCTTTTGCTCGCGATTGGACGTCGAGACTGGCTCCAGATGATAGTTACACCATAGAGTGGTGTCACGAATGTCATCTTCAAAGCGCCAGTAATGGCTGGGATGGTCGCCGAAAAGAGCTGGAACCTCCACATGTAATCCTTTCTGGGCTCAAAACACCTTCAGCATCGGTCAATATTTCCATCAACTGGAAAGTACCTCTGTTCAAAATTACGCCAAACGTTGATGTAACGATGGCAGATGTCCAGAACGCCCTCAAAGACGCGGAGGTCAAATACGGGTTCAAGCTGTGTCCTCACTTCAGCTACTGTAACGGAGAACTGCTTCGGATGCTTGATGCTCGGATTTGTATTTGTTTTGGGAACGATAAGCGTTTGGGAATTCAACCACTGCCGAGCCCTCTGCCGGAGGTAGTTCCGCACACGACTTGCCGCCATGACGCCGACGTAGCACAGAGGTTAAACCGCAACCAGTCAGAACCTCAAGGCTTCATGTCTGGAACTCACCTGACTCGTTGCGATTTCTGCTCAACCACATATGGATTTAAAAGACACGGAGCTTGTGTCTTCTTATTTCGGCAAACGAACGTGAAAATGACCGCGGAGAGGAGCAAGTACTACTCGGGTTATGGTCTTCAACGTGTGCTTGAGCCAAGCTCATATGTGACCCGGGCAGCAGCAGTGGATGACGAGACCAAGTATCTCATGTGGTGCGATGATGAAACTTGCAGGAACGGAAGAAACTGGAACACGTACGCCACCTGCCTTAACGCCTACTAAAATCATCAAAACACGACAAAAGAATAACGGAAATTAATCACACTACATCTGCATGCGGCTTTTTCAAGACAGATTCTGTCGAGAGTAGTGAATCAGACGAAAGCCACGATGATAAGCCAACCTAAGCAATTGGAATAGATGACATGAAGACACGTATCACTTAAATATCCTATCCGTGAAATCCGACTCGGGGGCGTCGGCCCTCTAGCTGTCGATACCATATGCCGTCAGCTGGGTTACTTCTCAATGTTCTGTGACTTGCAATTGCGTGGGTATGCGAGACTATTCCCTTTACTTTGTTGCGCTCGATTAAGTTCAGCTGCCGGGTTGCCTCAGCCAGAAGGGTTTTCCACAGCACTTCCCAACACGCGGAAAGTTGGCATCGTGGGGAATTATATGCTCCATTGGATTTAAACGTGCCTTAAACTGCACACCGGCCGCATTGGCGTCGCGAGAGTTGAAACGGACACAAACACTTGCTGTGGCTTGTTACTCCATTTATAGTCCCTGTTGCGATTAAGAGAGTGAGCTCATCTCACGGGAAAGGGTAAGATTTAGAGCTTTGCTATCCGGGCGGATGACCACTTACTCTGGGCATAACGGTCTATTTTGTTTCAATAAATTTCCCATTATTGTCGTCTCTGTCGTCTCTGTCGTCTCTGTCGTCTCTGTCGTCTCTGTCGTCTCTGTCGTCTCTGTCGTCTCTGTCGTCTCTGTCGTCCCTGTCGTCCCGACCGCCCCTTTCCCGGTCTACTTTCCCTATTCCTGTCGTCGTCGTCGTCTTCGTCGTCGTCTTCGTCGTCGTTCATGTCGTCGTCTATGTCCACTACCCGCCCAGATAGCAAAGCCCAGGAGTTATGGAAAACTGCTCGCATTGATATATCTATCTACTCGCCTCTTCTCTTAAGTTCAGGCTTGACCCGGACATCTTTTCCTATGATAATATCGCGCCGGAGATCAAGGAGCAATACTGCTGCCATCACTGCTAAGAGCACATCAACTTCAGACGCATAATGTGACAGACTTTCATTTTTGTTTTGTCTGGCTCTCAGAAGAATCCTACCAGCTGCGCAGCCGCCAGCGTCAAGACAGAAAAGGCCCGGCTGGTGAGATTGCAATGAATTCTATCTAACATTTCTAGCCTGCTCGCTCTGGCAAGTGGAGAATTGAGGCTCGAGACGACAGAAAAGGTACAACCACAGGTACTAAAATAGATATCATACTACAACAAAAAGAAGTTCTTTCTCATCCATTCAAGTTGCAAGTAGGAATTGCATGTTGAAAATAACAAGTTATTATGTTCTCAACCAAGAAAAAGGTTGGTCATTACATCGACGGGATGTTCTAAACAAGTCAATTCTGTCAAGTCCCCACCTCATCCGATGGTTCTCCAATCATTCATCCTAACACTTATCAAATCAGACGTGGCATAACCCTCTTCATCCCTGTCAGTAGTGAGCTCTAGTCAACTTTTGTCGATGAAGGAGAGCTGGTCTCGGGTTTTCGGACTGATAAAACGTCGCGCTCCGCTTATCCAGCTCCATCATGGATACAACCGAAGTTGCAGGGTGGCCGCACCATCTGCCGGCGCGCCCCGCTGCGGAATTTCTGCAGCGTGCATGATTTCCATGGGTTTAGGCGCTCCCGGTCGTCTCATTTTTCTTCTTTCCCTCCGATCTTCATCCCTACTCCACGAGGCGTACCGGATTCTCGGGTCAAATCGTTGCCTTCCAACAACAAAGATCCCAACAACCAACAGTCTGCCAACAAAAAGCCATCAAACACTGACTCGCGACAACCCTGAAATGGCCGAACCAACACCAACTCCCGCCGCTTCCTCCCCAGTCACTGAAACGGCTGCACCCGTCTCACCGCGGCCCGCCCCGGAAGTGGAGGTTGAAGTCGACCAGGAGGAGCTCGACTCCTCTTACGGGGACGATGAAGTCTCGCGCGCCAGCACCTCGCTCAAGTCCATTACATCGAGATATGAATGGAAGCACGGTCGCAGATACCACGGCTACCAGTCGGGTACTTACAACTTCCCGAACGATGAGCAAGAGCAAGACCGTCTGGATATGATCCACCATGTCTTCTACCGATTGATGCACGATCGCCTCTACCTCGCACCCATCAACACGGAGGGTCTCAAAGTCCTTGACATCGGCACCGGGACTGGCATTTGGCCCATTCAATTCGGCGACGAGCACCCCGAAGCTGAGGTCATCGTCGGCAACGATCTCAGCCCCATCCAGCCGGACTGGGTCCCACCTAATGTCAAGTTCATCATCGACGACGTCGAACTCGATTGGATGGAGCCAGAGAAGTATGACTACATTCACTGCCGCTATATGGCCGGCTCCATCAAGGACTGGCCTCGATTGCTGCAGCAGATCTACGAGAACCTCAAGCCCGGAGGATGGGTGGAGCTCCAAGAATCGGCTAACACTCTGTACTCGGAAGACGGCTCACTTAAGCCGGACAACGCCATGATTCAGATGATGAACGGCCTCATGGAAGCTTGCGAAAAGATCGGACGGACCATGGATCCTGCCCCGTCGTTCAAGCAATGGACTGAGCAAGCTGGGTTTGAAAATATCAGTGAAAAGAAGTTCAAGTTGCCGATTGGTAGCTGGCCTAGGGATGAGCGGTTGAAGGAAATCGGGACCTTGATGGGGCACAACTTTCTCGAGGGAGTAGAGGCGTTCACCGCAGCTCTTTTCAAAGATGTCCTGGGTTGGTCGCAAGAGGAAGTCATTGTTCTCAACGCCGGAGTCCGAGCGGCGGTCCATAAGAAAGATGCGCACCCTATTTTCAACTTCATTGTTGTGACTGGTCAGAAGCCCAAGTCGGGCTGACCGAGGTAGTAGCGACATACTTTGTTGTCCAGATGCAGTTACCTTGCCCAGCTGCCCACGTTGAAACAGCTGCTCTAGTTTAGGAACGTGATGCATGAGGTCCTATCCATCTCAGAATTAATAAGATACAATCGCCAGAAATAATAGGTTACTCGCTTCACCCCTTGAAATCTCGAAAAGGCGCGTTTCAAGATGTCACAATACATTTTGACCTGCCTTTTCTCTGAGCTTGCTGTAAAGAAATATCAAAAACTACCTAGCAGTTCCTAGACCCTTAACTAGACAACACCTCAGGAGCCCTTTGCAAGCTTGAACAAAAAACAGAGTAGATTTAGCTATCTTTTCAATCATCGTCATACGCATTGTCCTTCTTCCACCAAATCGTGATATCAATGTCACTATCCTCATTGCTTTCGTATTCTTCCCTCCACAAGTCCAGTTGTTTGGCGGAGACTCTTGCCCAAAGCGAGCGCCTGGGACGGAAGAGCAGATCATGAGGTTGCTCAAACTGGAAAACAGTGTCGTGGCACTGTACTGTGATTCTGTAACCACTAAAGCTGTCGAAGTCATCAGCTGTGTAGTCCTCGTCCACCTCGACTACCAGGAAAATGCTTCCGCCGTCATTCAGAATCGCGTAGGCCCCAAGTCCTCCAGCTCCTGCAGTGGTTCTGACTTGAGTTTGGGTGGTGTCGGACGGCGGGATGGCCAGTTGCATATACCCCGTTTGAGGCAGTGGCGGTTCGTCCGCACGTGCCCGAAGAATCTGGGTGGCCGATGCGTCTTCGGAGATCGGGAGCGGATTTGCGAAGACTAAATTCAACAAGAGAATGACAGCGGCGACAGCCAAAAAGTAAGGAGATGCCATAACGAGCGAGCTTTTGATCAAATTGATCAGCACCAACGACGAGCAGGATGTTCAAAAATTTCCCAACTGTTCTTAAGGCGAATCTGACACTTTTAGAAATCGATCAATAGAGATCGCATTTAACCTGAATAACTCGATGCAGTTATACTGATAGCTAGCTGCCAACATTCCATGACTGCATCCGCTGAATCCGGTTGGATACCAGAGAGCAATTAGCATGGTGGGTAGCACGGAGATAAGCGAAAGCATACTTTGTTGTCAATACATTATATATAGAACCGGAAGTGCTGGCATAACACCCAAGCTTATGGACCCCACACCTATTAATTCTGACAGCGCGCCAAAGCAGGGATCCCCAATTACCTGCTCACCCCTGCTCACCGGGTGATGCGGCTGCGCCTGAACGGTGGCATCACCATGATAATTGAAAGCTCGATGCCCCTCAATAACGATGAAGTTACTCTCGGGTAGATCTTATAAAGGTTCTCTTCATAAGTCTTCCTTCGGCGGGGCCGCATGGTGAACATCTTCAACCTGGCTGGAGGAAGCATATGCATCCACATGAGTCGTGGAGAACTCTCTGGCTGGGACACCACGTGCAAATAGAATGTCTAGCTCCTCGTATGTCCTTCCCTTAGCCTCAGGTAATCGGAAGAAGGACCAAACGAAAATGGTGCAAGCGGTGGCGGCCCAAAAGAAGCCAGCCTTCCCGCGCAAGTTCCACTCTGTGGGGTTCCTTCGCGCAAAATGTCAGTGTACCTGCAATTGATGTCCGCAAAATAAAGTTGTGCATTCTCACATCATGTAAGTTTGTAAGACCTGCGAAACAATGTTGACTAGCTGATACGCGTTTCGAGACAAAACCACGGTTAACGGCCGAAGGCGGACTGAGGAAGTCTCGCTGATTACGCTGTACTGCAGATGAGGTGAGTAACGAAGGCTTGATAGGCACACTGCGGATTTCTTACGGTGATCGGACCGATGGTAAGGGACTGGTGCATTGTTAGTCGTCACTGACGATTATTCAGGTAAAAGATGGGTAGCTTACGTAGATGAAGAGCCAGAAAACACACAAGCCACCAGACGGCCATAGTCCTTTCTTTCCAGCAGAAACGTCAAGAATACCGATAATGAACAGGATCACTGTCAGAATACCCATGCCGGTGACATATATCTGGCGACGACCCCAATGAGTGATGAGCCACCAGGAACTATGCACGTATTGTGAGTAATCTTCAACAAATATTATCAGCGCTTGAAAGTTGGAACTCACAGGCAGGTACCGATGAAAGCCATTCCCTTCGCCCCAAGACTCAACTCAAAAGCATTGGCCGTATTCATGCCGGCGGTCGTGAAGAAATACGTCGGGGTGTATGCGAAGCTGCTGCCGGACATGACTTGTCCAGCGAAGGCGATGCAGCAGATTTCCGTGCGTCGGAGGTCGACACCCTTGAAGCAATCTTTGTATGAGACGCCACTCGTGACACCAGCTTCAACCTTGGTCGTATGGAGCATCATGGCTAATTGAGCATTGATCTGGTCTTGAGTCTTGTCGCCGCTGAGTCTTTCGATTGATCGACGAGCTTCATCGAGTCGGTCTTTGCGGACGAGAAACCAGGGGCTTTCGGGGGCGAGGTATGAGATGACCATCAAAGGAATTGGCCACAACTAGTTTTAATCCGTAGTCAGCTACATTATCTCGCTTGATTCGGGTTGGAGAATCTTACCCATTGGATTGCAAAGGGAATCCTGTACGCCATCTCACCCTCAATACTGAGACAGCCACGAAGTACGCCCGCGGCAATAAGCTGGCCCGTCGCCCAACAAAGATTGACCTTGACCGTATCAACAGATGTTTGAAATTTGAATCGCTAGGTATCAACTCACGTAGGTAGTCATGTATCCTCGCAGGTTCGTCGGACAGACCTCAGAAGCTAAGTAGTTTTTAGGTAAGTAGTGGGTCAAGAAAGGTCTGAAGATGGAGGCTTACCATATGCGGGACTGAGTGTAGCAAACACGCCCCACGAAAAGCCACACAAGATCTGACCGACCAGCAGCATGGCGGCCGAGTGTGCGAAGAAGACAACAAAGATGAAGCAGTTAAGGAACCCCATTGCGACGATCATGACCCAGCGGTAGCCGTACTTGGATGCGAAAAAGCCGTTCATGAGACCACCTGCATATATCAGTACTGTGACATAAGACCATGCCGCCCTAGTATCTCACCGAAGATGGCACCGGTCGTGGCAGCCATGGTCAAACCAGTCTGCCACGGCCCAGAGACCTGGTATCCGATCTCATCGCCATACCAGCTGCCATATTTCTTCTGAAATTCGGGGTACGCAAAGAAATTGTTGATCAGAATAACATCATATCTGAGTGAAAGCAGTCAGAAGCTATATGAGCAAGGAGCCACGATATGGTCTTACCCTTCCATGACGATGGACATCGAAATCATGACAGACCAAAACACCGCCCTTCGGTTCTGGGTCAGGGCTTGCATCAAAGTCTGTGCATGCTCGTCATCGGAGGCTTGCTTCGCCTCAAAGATGGCTGATTGGCCCAACTTCTCTTCGACTTCATTCTCGGCTGCTTTGCGAAGATGCTGAACCTCGTGATCGCCCTTGGACGCCATGATGATTGACACAATTTAGGATCTAAGGAGACAGCCTCCACGAACCCAACTCCAATATCCAAGAGCTGGGGCCATCGTGGCTTTATAAAAGCCCGAGCCATCTCACTTTGGGTTGTAGTCGTACTGCAATCGGCCGACATGTCACTACTACCGAACCATGCATGTTCCTGGAAGAGCCGAGCACTCGGCACACACTCAGCGCATTCTGGCTAAATCTCACACGCTCTCTAGACCCATTCAAGAAGGATCCGAACATTTAGACCTCCCATCTCCACATGAACTTGGCCGGTCCCCACACGTGAATGAAGCAAAGTCTGGGGTATGGGGAGAGCTTCACGGCTCTTGATTGGTCGGTGCCCGGGAACGACCTGGCAACTCCCGGCTCCGGGCACGGTGTTCTGACTTCGATGGACGTGATGGATGATTTGACGAGATCGAGCGGTCCAATCAGTTAAAAAGAATAAGCTAGAAATGGGTCCTCTCGAGATGTCACTGTGAGCACATGTTCATCTTCGGGTTTGTTTGAAGGGCAGCAGTCTGCCAAGGACATTGGGTTGTTGCGGGGAAGCGGCATTGATGATCTGTGGTTGGTCGAGAGATTGTAGACATTGGAGATTGCGGAGAAGCTCCGCTAGTTGGGATGGGGTCAACTGACGAACGCGTGAGCCTGTTGGTTAACTTGGGGAACTCGGGGTACTCCCCCGAGCGACTTCAAGGCTCTGATAGGTCCTTTTGCGGAAAAAGGAGTTTGCCAAGGTAACGTGCCCGGAAAAGGTCGACAAACCGGCATGTTGGAGTTGAGAGTACGGACGTATCCGTTGCGGGGTTTGTTAAACCCGAGGGCTGCCACCGGCTGTTGGGCTCATGAGGTGGTGCTTCTTGAAACCCCTCCACGATGCCCGCCTGCCCCTTCACGGGCTTCCTGACATGGCCACGGTCACATATAGAGCACTGGCTCCTGGTGCAATTGATCATCATATAAACTTCCTCGGTGATCGTCAGCCTGTGGATTGCGACATGCTTCATGGTTGTTCAACGACGCAGGGAACCTGGGCCCTCTACCAAAGTCTCCACGACCGAAAAGAAAGTCTATCTAGGACCAGTTCACCTAGAATGTCGTGACGAGGCTTACAAAGCTTCCATGAGGCAAATCGAAAGGAGAACAGAAAAAGCGCAAGACCTGCGAAACTCGGGTCACGTCCCACAACTGCTACTTCGAACTAATGCACCCCGACGTCCGTGAGCAGAAGCGACCGGCATGCATTTCAGACACACTTGAAAATGATCGTTAATTCAACGTTGAAGTTTCACAAACGCCTATAAGTAAACCCTTGAAACCCATGAGAATAAGCCATCCTTACATCTGACCTTCAGATCTCGCCCTTTGGTGAAAATATTCGGCTGGAAGTGTACTCTCAAATCTGTCCAGCAGATCCTGATGTCCGTGAAATAGAATTGTGACTTTGGCATGGATCTCCGCAATGTTCCTGTCGGCTTCTTCCTGGGTCTGCGGAGCGGCTTGGTTGAATTTACTAAGCGCTTGGATGAACGTCGGGTAAACATCCGGCTGCGTTGTCTCGAACCGCTTCTATCAGCCGTGTTAGACGATGATATCGTGAGAAGTTGGATGCAACCGACTTTCACATCTTCTAAGAACTTCAGGCTCTCTTGGAATTTGGGCTGCCGCAGTAGAGAGTCGCCGTCCATGCCATCAAAATCTACATCCTGGTCTGGCTCGCGGATCGTGGGAGGCTCGGAGGACATTTTCAAGCTTCTTAAGTTCTGCAATAGCCAGATATCTCGAGAACGGATGGACGGGTATAGGGCCACTCCAGTGTTCGCCGAGGCTCGAGGTCCAGGCAGGGTACGGGGACAAATGAAGACCGAAATGAAAATCAGCACACGCAAAAGATGGGGGTCAGACACGAGATAATCGTGAGTCTATCTTTAAGCGATGCCCTCAACCCCGCTCATGGCTCGACGTTTCCGCCCGCGGCAAATGGACAGATGGAACCGGCAAGCAAAATAACCTACTGTTGTGGATTAAAGGAATGCTTCTGGTTGGTCCACCATTTCGAAGGATTCACTTACATAAAATGATGTAATAACCACAAAATCCGCAGCCAGGGCGCAAGTTGGCGGCGCAGCAACTTCGAACACATGACCAAGTTCAAAAACAGTCAAAATGGCCGTTGTAATATTGTCTGACTGATGTTTCCATTTGCATCCCCTGGAGGACCAAAGTTTCTGAAACATTGACCAACACCTCATACGAGAATGAAGAGCTCTTCTTCGCCGAACCTTTCCCTGATGCTTTCATTATCCGACTCTGGCATTAGAGGCCCTATGAAGGCATCACCAAGCAGGATCCAACCATCGTCAGTCTGTCTGAGAACGAATGGAATGGGTCCACCATTAAGGAGAACGACAACATCGCCTGGTTTTGCACAGGCTGGTGCTAGTCCGTAGAAGCCACTGGCCGTTTCAAAAATGCGTCTTTGGTCGCAAGATCTCGACGCTGCGATTCGGAAGCGACTCGCATCGCCCTCACAGAGTGCCACCTCCAAAGGGTCGTAAGTATCAGGAGTCTTTCCTGCAACACTGAATAGTTTCTTGATGTAAGTAAGATAGTCCGCGTAAAACCGATGTCGGTCATCTGGCTCCAGATCAAACACAAACTCGTAGCCTTCCGTGAAGTTGGTGGTGAGTGTCAGTCCCATTTCAAGGAGTGCCCCAAACGGGGCATCTTCTGAACCGAATAGTGGGTAAGACTTCGTCGATGACACTCGGTGCCAAATCTCAAGGAAAGGATGCGTCTTAGCTTTGGCAGGGGTTATGTCCTCTTTGAAGTGACTGATGTCAAAGACCTCGGTGGTCCAGGCGATGGTATCGAAGCGCACACCAGAAAGGCCGACCTTGCCATCTGATGAAGGCTGAAAGTCAACAAGACCTGGCAGGCCGTGTTTGTCTCCCTCTTCCCAAGCCGTCACCGACATGCTGTGAAGAATGTTGCCGACGTCCTCGCTGACATCCCACCTTGGTACCCAGGACGGAAATTCTGTGCGCTCGTACTCAACACCATGCTTCGCATAGCATAGAGGGGCAAGGCTTTCACTGCTTGCTACCGAAGCCTTCACCACATCGATGTATACCTCTGCAACAGTCTTTTTGTAGTCAACACTGGCGAATCCCTCGAGAGTTGCCTCATTGATAAGTCCCAGTAAGCCATAGACCTTGTCTCTGGGGTTTGTAGCGTTGAAGTCGCGAAAGCTCAAGAGAATCTCAAGGAAGCTCAACTCTGAAAGCTCGCTTTTATCAAACATGCTGTATGCATTGTCCCAGGCGATTCCGTCGAGTTCAGCTGGTACGTCGTAATCGTTTGCAAGATTCTGCTCGCTAAGCCAGGCGGCCGTGACGCCCAGCCTGTCCCATTCGAACGAGTGAGAGCCGACATAAACCCTAGATGAACGCGCCAGCACAATCTCCTGGACACACCACACCCTTGTGAACCAGGGCCTTGATAAGAGCCATTTGAGGGCGCTCCAACTCTTTGAGTCGGGCTTTGGCAGGCCTAAACGTTGAGCGGCCGAGGCGATGTCAGTGATGGAGACACCAGCGAAACCTTCCATTTTCTCCGTGGCAATCGTGAAGTGAGCCATGCTCAGTAGCTCAACCCCACGAGCCAGGGCTTGATCCTCGCATGCATGGTATATCGCTTCCATCAGCGGCATAGCACGCGCCGTCTCGTTGTCTTCATCAAGACCGAGCCATACCACAACAAGAGACGCCTTTGAATAAACGTCGCGCATCAGCTGGACTTGCTCTGCCCGTTCCTCCATGTCCTCCTGGTTGATGCAAAGGGCGTCAGCCCAGATGAATACCTCCTCGGTGGGAAGTCGAAAGTGGCGAAGGGCGTCGAACAGACTCTTTGTGACGGAAACCTGTTGACCTTGACATTGGATGTCTTCGCGCTGAGACGGGTCGCCCCAGACATACGATAACGCATGAAATGAAGGCGGATCGTCAATGTTTGCCTCTCGCAGATTCGTAGTGATGGGGTCGCGGCCTGCTCCAGGTTGGAGGACAAGGACTCTGATGTATCGACTCGGCAAACGTCTTGAGTAAATTGATGCCATTTCCTCGGGGGCAACGGTTGCTCTGTACTAAACGACGAGTTGCGTAGTTGCGCTGAAGATGACAACGAGAGACTCGGAGAGAGATCGAACACTCTTGCGGAACAGGGAAGCTGAGTCCAAGACACGAAGGATTTCGTGGTGGAAGGATTCCTTAAGGCGGGGGGCGCTAAACACCGTTCAGTTTGATTCGTTCCCACGTAGCGTGATTGGATTGATGGGTCTTGGCATGTTCTGGTACAAGGCAGCAGGCAATGATCTCGTAGCTCGTGATCAAAGTCAACATCACCAGCCATCTTGTCTCATCTCAACCGTCTAAACAAGCGAGCGTTCCTAAGCATATCTCCATTCCACACTTTAAAGTCATCCTCACTACTTCATAGCATATTGGACGATCAGACACTATGAGTACCCCTCCCACAAAGTTCCGCCTCTTTTTAAACCTCCCGCCAAGCTTCGCGCTCACATCTGGGAGCTGACCATCGAGCCCCGCATCGTCGAGGTACGCGAGTGCATTCATGGACAAGGTCCCATCAACGTCAGGAGACCTGGGTCAGGAGCGCAGACAGTTGATTAGACGGTCAAACGTCCACGGATGATGCGCCACTTGCGCGCCCAGTTCCCTCCCAGTTGCAAACCTGTCATGAGGCCCGCGTGCACCAGACTAAACATGCCGATGATGAATATCGCTATGGAAAGACCTTAGGGGTCACTACTAAAGCCTGAGACGGGTTCCACCCTCTGCCCGAGGGCGACCCCGGGCGGGAGCGTTATGTCTGGTTCAACTTCGGTAGTGATATGCTCTCGATTGGGGACATAGATTTACAAGAGTTCCTAGCTGTAGATTACCAGATATGCCGGCTGCGGCTTAGGCGCAACCTCGACGACGAATACCTTTCTCGCATTGAGTCAATTTCAATTGACAGACGGTTCATGAATATTGTCGAGATTCATCTGATCCTTTTTTTGGGGGCATTAGGTCAGGCTACTTAATGACGGGATACACATACTTCCCTGTGGACCCGAGAATTTGTACTTTACTGATCCTGAACCGATGGGAGGGACGATGATGAACAGCATCATCCTGGACGCTATGGTGATCTGGGTTCACGAGGAGCTTGACAGACTAGCAGAAGAGAATTCAACGTTTTATCAATCGAACGTTACCTCTCGAACGTTACCTCATAATTATATTATTCCAGAATAACCTGGTGCCAGATGACATGAGAGCTTTGTTTCCTCTAACGACGGCCGATATTGCTAAGAACGAAGAGGAAAGGCCAATGTTTATTTGCAACTGCAGATGCTATGCTCGTTCATGACAGATGTACCTAATAGTACCCTCGGATAAGGATACTGTTCCTAAAATTTAATTACAAGTGCGGCAAGTCAATCGTGCTTGTAGGCTCAGAAATCCTTGCGGTCTTGGCCGAGATGGCCTGTCACATTTAGTGTTCCTAAGCTTCATAGAAACGTTCCGAACTAAAGCCATCCAGGCCCATTGCCGAAAATCAGTAAGCTGAGAGCTCGAGTCCGGGGTTCTCGAGGTCCAAGATCCACAGCATTCTGATCAGGGTGTCACTGGATGATTCTAGCTCTAAGAATCAGGTTGAACCGTCAAGCATCTTTCAGGGAGCCTGCGACAATGAGCAAGTTCTCGGAAATTCTGCAATCGCTTTGGTTGTCTATGTCAAGTGTGACTCAAAGGTCTCGAGGTCCAGGCCTTTTTCAAACACTGAAATCCAATACTTATTTCATGTAAGTTTCTTTCTGGGGTGCCTGGGTAAGGTACCCACGAAGGAACCTCCCAGCAGGGTGATGTGCCCCACTTGGACAAAAAGGGCAGGGTGGGACAGAAGCTTGCGACCGTTGGCGCGGAACAGCCAATGATAAGCCGCAAAGGTGCAGAGGCGGCGCTTATCTAATCAATACCCTGGCCACCTACCCACCGTCCCATCCCGTCGGTGCTGCCTTCGATATATCTCCAGGTCTCCCAAAACTTTCGACACTGCACAGTTGGCTATCCCTCCCTCTTGTCAGCGATCGCTCTCACAGGGTCCAGAAGTGACAGGTAAGAAAAGCTTTTGCTGCGGCCAATATTCTTCTGACTGCTTTTCATCCCTCTCATACTGACAGACTAGTTAGCATAGAAAGTGCTCGATCGCAATCATGGTACCCCCGAGCGATGAAACGGAACGCCGAAACTGGCTCACGCGATGCTTTTTCAAGTTCCGAGACGAATGCAGAGATGCCGCGAAAAGAGAAATGCTTGTCTCTATCCTAGAGTCATTTGAGACTGTCGAAAGCAGCGAGGCGTCCCGTCGCGACACCATCACCGACAGATTTATGCGGCAACTCTCTCAAGCAGACGACCCTTTACTCCAGAAGAAGCTCGATGCAGCGGAGTCTTTTGTCAAGGCCCTGGACAGCAAGTACATGTGTGGCGAGTACCTTGAAGAGTTGGCGGCCTTTTGCAAGGCTGAATGGCCAGAGCTTGTGAGCAAGAAGGTGTCGCCACAGCTGCCTGAAGTCAGGTACATCGATCGCCTAGAAGAAAAGCTGCGAATACTACAAGAGATCAGTGTTCAAGAGATTTGCAGCCAGAACCCCGAGGACCCCCCACGGCGCATAGATCCGACATCTATCACTGTCAACGTTTGGTCCGCATTTTGGGCCGCAACTGTCGAAGAACTCCAGCATTTCCTGGAGTTCAAAGTCAGAAGTGGTAGATTCTTTGTCGAAACCATCGAAACGGCCTTCATTGCGGTGGAAGCAGGTGTTCCGAAAGTGATGGAGTACGGTGAGTGGCTAACCTATCGCCGAGCTTGAAGCGAGAGTGATGGATGAGACTAATTATATACCCAACCCCAGTAATGAACAAGCGCGGTGCTGGAGCGTCTTCTAAGACAGCATCTTCCAAGGCCGCCACGAGCAACGCAAACAGCACCAACGCCCAGAGCGGACATAGTCAGTCAGGAAAGGGCAAGGAGAAGGAAAAACAAAGAAATCCGGTGTCCATTGAAGATGTAATCTTGCTCTTGTTTACCTACATTTGGTCGAATTGTTCCATCGTGCTGACATATAGTTCATAGACGAAACAGAGAGAAGGCTTGGAATGCCCTCTTCTGCATACTATCGTCACCGAGGGGGCTCATATATACCCTGTGGCGAAGATAGAATATGTCGGAGACTGCACGACATATCTGAAAGCTTTAGATTTCATTTGGGGCGGCGCAACATGCAACAGGTTGAAGGCTGCATTGGGCGTCAAGGACCTCGACATACCTTCCAATATGATTGCCTTGGATCATGCACCACATCACCTATGGGACCTCGGGAAAGTCACGTTCAACCCGGTCCTTCGACTTCCCATGAGAATCGATCTTGAGTTCCTCATCTTGGAGCCGCTGGACTTTGGGAAGAGCGGGAAGAGGAAGAGACCAGGAAATGACTTCCCAGAAGGTCTTGCAACAGACCCGAGGACCAAGGTCAAAGTTCCCGACAACACCAAGACCAAAACGTCCATGAAGGCTGCAAAAGTCTCTGAAATCAGATTTGTCTCCGCGCAAACCCAGCATCGCATCCGCCATGGACATCGTTTTACTATCACGTCCAACGACCCAAAGTTACTTCCCAGCGCCGACCTTCTGGACCTGAGAAACAGAGTTATGGTCATGATGGCACTTAAGGGTGGCGCGGAAGTTTTGGATGATGTGTTGTCAAGCGCCAGTGGTGACGAAGACGCTCCAAGAGTCTTAGTTGGCGCCGGAGATGTCGAAATGGACTTGGACGATAAGGTTCTAGGATGGAGTGAGCATGCTGAGGAGGAGCTCGCACTTCTGACCACCGAGGAAGCGAACCAGATGCCTTGGCGCCCGCCAGTGATTGAGCATCCAGCAGAAACCGGAGACACGGTTTCTCCCAAGAGCCAGACAAGCAGCACCCGAGGAGATGGCTAGGTACTTCCTCCTCCCGTTGTACCTGTCAGTTCAGAAGAACCAGAGGGGGATGATATCCCAGGACCCTTTACCTCTGTCAGCCGTTCTCGCACGAGAAGACATCGCGGGTCTATTACTTCGGTTAGGTCAGTCCGCGAGACGATCGCTGAGGTGCTCGGAAGTATGCCCCCAAACACGCCGGCAGCCCACAGCCCCAGACACCGCCACCGTGGTTCTGTGACGTCAGTTATATCAAGCCGCCAGCCTTTTACAGCCCTTTCCCCGCGACTTGGAAGTACGGGTGTGCTCGGAAATTTGTCGCCGAACTCGCCTGTAGCTGGCAGCTCTAGACGCCGGACAGGTTCTCTAACTCAACCGCAAGGCAGACCAATGTCAACCAACCCTCAACCTGAGCAGCCTGGCCCAGCCATGGGAGTCCCAGGTAGCGGCCACTTCCCTCACTGGACCCGCAAAGAGGACAGTGAGCCCAAGAATGCTGGTGCAGCCCAGACGTCGAAGGATCCTACTGATACTCAGGCGTCTGCGCCGGTCGATGACACCACGCAAGGGCATTTGCCACACGAGGCCTGATGTCGAAGGCACAGCACGGCTAAGCCTAGGAGAGTTGAGACGAGTGATGCGACAGTAAGGTAGAAAAACAGAATTACACATGGTTTCGGAATGATTCGAGCGGATGGAATGCCAATGATGAAGATTCATTGCGGTAATATACGAGTTTCAGGCAGCAGCAAATACACACGCAACTTGCACCCGATGATACTGCTTTCAATACCCCTCACATATGAAGAGTGCGTTTGACTCATCTAGATGTCTCGAAACACTCCTCTACCTTCTCGATATTGGTTTGCTAGTGGATCAACATTTGAAACCACGTTACGGAAAGCCTTAGATCCAGACGCATGTGAAGGTATCTGAATAAGTAATTGGCATATTACCCTCAAGAGGCCAAGATGATCCTCTTATTCTGCTTAGCCCCAGCCTCAAGACTCAGTTTCTCCAGAGTCCTCTGGTTTGCGTGCATACACGAGATGCCTGTTCAACATGGTTAGTCCGTTTGTTTTGAAACAGCGAACAGGAAAGCGGGAAAGCTGGATGGGTCGCCTCACAGGTAGAGGAATGGCTGTAGGCTGTGATCCGCGAGAGCTTTCCGCATCTCAGCCACGAAAACAATGATTTCGGCATACTCCCAGCCCATGATTTCCTTCAGAAGAAAAATCGCGAATCCCTCAAGCGACTGGTTGATGTACATCCAGTTGCAATTGCCGACTTCCTTCAGCATCGGATCCGCGGGCCATGCGCCGATGGGGATGGGCCATTTCTTCTCAACGATGTCGACGAAGCCAGCCTCGGCCAGGCCTTTTGCTATTCCGTGGTCCCGAGTCTGTGTTAGTGTCTTCCCGAGCTTTTCCGCTGCCTCGAAGAAGATGCTTGCCCATCTTCGGTAGATGTGATCTTTAGGCAGGTTCTCGCCTTGGGCTTGCGATCGGTCCTCGATGTCGAGCTCCTTCACCTCAATGTAACCACCTGGGATAAGATGATCGAACGCCTGTTTGTAGAGAGCAGGCCAGTCCGAAATACTGGCTTCGAGATGGCGAACATGGATGAAGTCGAAGTCGGCGTCCCATGTCCACGGTTGCTCGATATCGTCAACTTGAAATTTGCAGTTCGGGGGAACCCAACCGGGCTGAATGGGTGATATGTCAACGCCGGTAACCTGTGCTGACGGGAATTCATCGGCGAAGTCGCTTTAATTCACTTGTTAGTTGCGGGGATGGGTAGATACTTTGCATAGAAACCCACATGGCCCAGATACCAGTGCCAGTTCCGAGGTCAAGAACCTTCTATTCCTGGAGTCAGATACAATAATACCCAGACAATCATTTTCGAGGCTTACCTGCAGACTGTCGCCTATCGGAGCGAGGAACAATTTGTCATCGAGGAACAACGTCTCCCAGTAATGCCTTTCGAAGAGGAAGGCTGTCAGCTCGACGAGCCATGAGTTTTGAGAGGCCGCTCAAAGGCACCGTAATAACAGCCACTTACGCGATCTCAAGGCCTTCATTCTGTCTAGCGTCGTTCGGGCCCCAGTAATCGACCTTTTGCGTGTAAGTGCGACCGTGAATTCGACGATACTCGGTAATGCTCTCGCTCAAAGATGCTGTTGACGCAGTGTGGACACTACAACCCATCATTCGCAATCATTAGTAACTCTGTCTTCATATCTGCTAGAACCTAGATCCAAGTCACCTCTGTCCATCTGCCTGCGACGCGTGGTCATCATCCACCGCGATGCCTTGAGCCTAGGTGGCCTCCGTAAATACGCTTATCGTCGCTTTGTGACTGCCGAAGTAGCGGCTAAAAATGCGCTGTGTCTTGGGTAACTCACATCGTTCGCTGGATCTGGAGCTATTTCAGGCTCAGTGGCGGCAGGTGGGCTGGCGCTGCCGGTGGTGGGTTGAGCTGCGGCTTGCATTCTGATATCGTCCGACTTTCTGTGCAGTCAGTGCTGAAGAAAAGAAGAATCCATATAAAACATGGGAGGAAACAGCAGCCTTTAAAAATGGGCTGAGGAAGAGAAAACACGGCCATCAACAGGGGCAGTTACCCCTCATTTCTCAGCGAGTTGTTTGCCATTGTTGGTGCTCGCTTGAGGCGCATCCACTCAAGATACCGGACACTGCGTCCGCCTCCGCGCGCGAATGAGAAACATTGCCTCGTCAATTCGGATGCAAGTTCTAGGCATTTTCTGGAAGGTATGGGCCGACTTCCATGTCCATCGAGGAACCAACAGGCTGCGGACAGGGGAGGTGACCAATCAGTGCGAAATGAGGAAGGCTGCACATGAAGACAGGGGTCTGAGTTCGTTGGTTGAGCCAAGACCTGATGCATTTTCAGAATTCGGTCAACAGTGAAGGAAAAGTTCCACTATGAATGAAACCTTCAGGTCGAGAATGGACGTAAGGGAATTGCTGTTGTCTTGAGTCTGCCTTAATCTAACAACCAGCGTCAATTTGCAAAGTATTAAGCCAACCTCTATAAGTGATGAAAGAGACAATTTCCTTCTCATGGTCGCCTTGTTCAAAGCTTTCGTCCGAATCTTGTTTGAAGAGACTCTTCCAAATACGTCGACCGTCGTCTAAATCGTCATTCTTTCGCAGGAGGAAAGGCTTCGTTCGCATCTCCTTCTTCTTCGTTGTCGGCTCATCCTAGTCAACGTGGCTGTCCCCTGTCTTGGTCTTAAGCTTCCTTTTGTGGCTAGTGTTATGATCTCGACGGCCTGAAAGTAATTCTCCGTGGGCTTCTTTTGGTTAGTCTCCAGAACAGTGCTACTGGCCGGAGGAAAAGAGACCTTTACAAATTCGTGTTCTTCTGCCTTTGGCGAGAGCTTAACCTTGACCAGGACGCGACTGAAAATGTGATTGAGTATGGGACTGGACTCAATTACATGGCTTGTGGCAACCTCGTAGGGAGCCTAAACGCACCTCGCTACAAACTTTGTTTGCTGATTTGGTCAAGAAATGGCTTTGTGGCGACTCTGGCCGACTCCACGATCTATAAGAGCATCTTAGGGGATATCTTCTAATTTTCTTGGGCATGCCAGAGTCTCTATGAGACCTAGAGGGAGTCGGATCCATTAATCTGGGGTAGTCCATCAGTTCTAACTAAAGTGCGAACCCCCTTCAAACTCTTCAGTGCAGAATCAAAAGTAACAGTCACAACGATCTTGCCCCTCTCCAACTCTTTAGCCAGCTCCAGCACAGCAATAACATTCAACCCTGTCGAGAGCCACGCAAAGATACCCTCCTTCCTCCTCAGGTATCTGCACATCTGCTGCGCGTGTATTAATCAACATCCCTCACCTGTTGTCGCTGAGAACGATGTGGAGATGAGTGAGAAACGGGCAGCCAACCGTTGGTCGCCCCTTGTACGTTTTGACGATCATGTCATGGACTTTTCGAAGCAGCTATCCAGCAAAGATTTCATAAGCCTTCTTGGGTCGCAAAGGATCTCCTGTCCCCCTCTAATTTCATTGCAACTGAAAAGTCTGCTGAAATCACGATCCGATTGACAAAATCCTAACGCCTGATCAAACAACACGCCTTGATTACGTGATCAACCTCGAACACCAGGGCCGTGCGCGCGTGGCAGTTCTCATCTGGCGACACTGTGCGCTCAGTGCGTCCCGTCGTCGCGTCACCCACGAGCATGAAGCGGTTCATCTCGTCAACGCGATTGAGAGGATCAAACACCCAGAAAACTGGACCACCTGCCATAATCTCATACGACCGTCTCTCGATATACAAGATAGGGAGTCAATCGGTGTTTTTGCCCAGGATTAACACTACAATGCCTGCCGTCACACGGAGTCTCCGGTCGTCGACGCGCCTGAGCGCAGCGGCGCCGGCGGATGAGAAGAGGACGGTCGTTGAGAAGAGCAAGGCCCCCGCCAAGACCAAAGTAACCAAGAAGGAGGCGACAACTAAGACTCAAACGGAAGAGAAAACTTCGAAAGCAGCTGGCGCTGGTCGCAAGAGGAAAGCCGTTGAAGCCGAGCCGGAAGATGAGCCGGAACCCAAGGCCGAAGTCAAGAAGCCCGCAGCGAAGAAGGCCAAGGTGCGCTTCACCCACATCCCCTTGAACCACACCCATTCTCTGACACTTCCACAGAAACCCGCCGCAGGCAAGAAAGAAGCACCGCCGAGAAAGACCAAGGACGAGCTCAAAGCGCTCCGCGACGCATCCGCTTCCGTGCCGGACGTCAACCCCGACGCCGAGGAGAGGAGTCCGCCGGAGGAGCGGTACTGGCTCATGAAGTCGGAGCCGGATGTGCGGATCGAGGATGGGTATGAGATCAAGTTCTCGATTGATGATTTGGCGGCGAAGAAGACGCCCGAGGGGTGGGAGGGTAAGCTTCCCCGTCATCCCCATCTCAGGAACGGTAGCTGACGACGATGCAGGTATTCGCAACTACGCGGCCAGGAATAACCTCAGAGACATGCGCAAGGGCGACAAGGCTTTCTTCTACCACTCCAACTGCAAGGAGCCGGGGATCGTGGGCATCATCAGCATCGTGAAGGAGCACTCCCCAGACTGTAAGTCCTAACCCCCGCAGTCCCCGAGCCGCAGCTGACGACGGCAGGGAACGCATGCATCAACGACAATCCCTACTACGACGACGCGGCGCCCCACGACGGCAGCAAATGGAGCCTCGTGCACGTCAAGATCGAGCACAGGTTCCCGCGCATCGTGCCGCTGTCGCTGCTCAAGGAGGTCGGGCCGAAGGGCCCGCTGGCGAACATGCAGCTGCTCAAGCTGGGCCGTCTCAGCGTGAACAAAGTTACGAAGGAGGAGTGGGACGAGGTGATTCGCATGGCGAAGGAGCTTGACGAGGACGGCGAGTGGGAGAAGGCTGTTGAGGAGGGCAAAAAGTTCCCGAATTACTCGGCGGCGTAGCGTGTTTGCTTCAAACCAGTTCAATTAGGGGCTAACGCCGAGTATGCAAGTGGTATCAAGGGTGGTGCGTCAGTTCCGCACCGTCTATTCCCGTCAAATGCGCATTTCGAGCACCGCTTTTCCGTTTTCCTTTGCTTTTCTGTACCAATAGCCAATTTTTCTCTTCCCGATATCCATAAAGCACCTTCTACGCCTCCAACTTGCCCTTTGTAGCCTCCAACACGGCCTTGATGCCCTCGTCCAGGTCCTCGACGAGCAGGATCATTTGGATCCACACCAGGCTCTTGCTGCGCAGCGCCTCCTTGTCCGAGGTCTCGTCCAGACCCTTACCCAGCCTCGACAGCACGTCGCGCAGACCCAGCGGGAACTCGGGCGTGTCGGGGCTGACGCCGACCAGCGGCAGACGGACGTAGCAGTTCCACGTCGCGGGGTGGGCTGCGTCAAGCGCGCGCATGGCCTCCACAACATAGTTGATGATCTTCTCGAGGCACGAGACCTTGGCGAAGGTGGCAAACATGTCGAAGAAACGCTCGGCGACGTCGGGGGTGAAGAAGGACTGCTTGCGGGAGATGTCGAAGATGGCCATGGGTATGGCGCCGTCCATGGCCGGGTTGTTCTTGAGCTTCGCGGCGGCGTCCTCGTCGATGACCTTCTTGCCGGGGACGGGCAAGTCGTCGCCGTCCTCGTTCTCCTCGTCCTCCTCGTCGCCGAAACGGATCTCGTCGTCGTCGTCCATCTTCTCGCCCGCCAGGGGGTTCGCGTCCTTCTTCTTCCCGCCGCCGCGCTTCGCGTCCATCTTGGCCAGCCACTCCATCTCGCAGCGCGCGTACTCGATCCACAGCGTGCCCTCGGTCGTGCAGAACCGGCACCCGCGCATGAAGTACCCCCGCGCGCCGCCCATGTCGCCGTTCTTAGCGGAGCGGCGGCCGGCGTGGATCCACAGGTCGGCGTCGGTGGGCATCATGCGCAGGGCGGCGGCCATGGTGCGGCGCCAGCGCTTGGAGGCCTTGACGTCCTCGGTGTAGGCGAGGTACTCGAGCCAGAGGTCCTTGCGGGAGGGGTGGCGGGCGACGGCGCGGTCGTAGATGGCGAGGACGCGGGCCTGGGAGGCGTGCTGGGAGTTGACGTGGCCGACCTTCATGCGCCGGCAGCGCTTCTGGCGCAGGGCGTCGAGGGAGGTTTCCCATTTCGCGTAGGAGGAGAAGTCGGCGGGGTCGGAGCGCGGGGCGAGGATGCGGTGTTCGAAGTCGCTTCTTTTCTGGACGATTGTGCGGATTTCCTCCTGTGGTGGGTGTGTTAGGATGGTGTCTTGGGTGGGATGTATTGGATGTCTGCCGAGGCCGAGGACTGAGGTAGACTTGCCTTTGTGAAGATTTCCTTTTCCTCCCACTCGCGCAATTGGGGAACGGAACGCTCCAAGTAGAAGCGGGCCTTTTCGGCGACGGCCATCTTGGTCAGTTCGGTAGGTGAGGACGGGCTGGTGTGGTGGTGGTGGTGGTGACCTTGTCTGTCGGTGTCGGCTACCGAGTGCTGCTCGCCTGACGAAAATGAAGCAGATCGGGATCGAGATCTGCGAATGCTTGACCAGCATTGGAAAAAAAAAAAAGTTGCGAGGCTGAGCACGGGCCCCATCAAACCAGTGGGGCCAATTTTATCGGTGTGGGGCAGCCGGAGCTCTCGAGTTGAAGCTGATTGGGTTCTGGGGTCTTTCAGCCTTGTGCCAAGCTCCCCGCCGGCGCTAAACCGTAAAGTGCCTCCGCCATTCCCTGTCCCAAAGCAGCGCCCGTTGGGTGCCATTGATGCCGTTTGGTGGTAAACAGCAGGGCAGCACGCACGAAAGAGCAGAGCTCCAGTGGGTTTCTGCCCGTGGTTCATATTCTGTCATCACCTTCCCTGCCATGCAGCTCCACTGTGACGCCCCGAATGCTCCGGGGGCCGCACGCTGCCCGCGGTGTCATTGCTAATGCTGCCCGCACTTGCCGCATCGCAGCGTTACTTCACTGCTGCTGCTGCTACCTCATTGCTTGCTTACTGCTGGCTGCAAACCATAAGGCGCCTGTCTGGACAAACGGACATAAACACGCGATCGGCCCGCCGAGGCACAAGGCACCGATTCCACTATTATTGCTTAGGTCCTTCCCTTCCACATTCCCCTCCAAATTCCCATCTTCCCTTCCTCTCCCACCTCTCCGACCTTGCCTCCCACACACACCTTACCTCGACACACACACAACACCACCACCGGATCACCCGGATGACCCTCTCTTCCCTTTGTTTTGCTTGAGCTGTCCCTTCCGCCATGTCGTCCAAGTACAAGGACAAGGACGGCGGCGTCGTGCTGACCTTCAATGGCCAGTGGGTGAGCTGGTCGCACACTGCCATAGCTTACAGTAAGTCGGACCATTTTCCGGTTTGCGATGGAACCTCGTCGCGATGCTGTTGCGCGCACAATTCTCGTTGCCTGCCCGCGCCCTTGGGACGGCATCAGGCGCAGCACCACGGAAACAGCTGGACTGACCTCTCCCCGCTCAAACAGCTGCCTTCATTAGCGCATTCATCGTCGGCGTCTCCCTGCACTTCCACAAGATTGTCCAGAATGAGTGGTACGGCTACCCGGACGAGTGGTTTCCCTCCGTCTCCGCGACCATTGGCGACCGGTACCCCGAGCGGTCCTTCTTCATGCTCTTCATCGCAATCACCTCCGGCCCGCGCTTCGCCCTCGTCGGCCTGTGGTACCTCCTCACCCGCCGTCCGGGCCAGACGCTGCCCAAGTTCACCTTTGCCATGGGCATCCTGCGCACCTTTATGTGCGGCGGCTTCACCTACGTCACTTCAACGGACGACCACGACTGGCATGACATTTTCATGATCTCCTACATCGTCGCCTCGCTGCCCTGGACCATTGGCTGCGTCACGCTGAGCCCGCCGAACCCCAAGGCGATCAAGTACCGCAAGGCGATCGCCTACTCCTTCTTCGGCACCCTCGTGCCGCTGATTTACTTCTTCATCCAGCACAAGGTGCACCGCGTCGCGGGAGGTGGGCATCCCTGGATTCCTCGTCCGCCGAGGCCCAATTGCTAACAGACTTCCAGCCTACACGATCTATGCCTTCTTCGAATGGGCGCTCATCCTCTTCGACGTTGCCTTCGACGCCGTGACGGCCCTCGACTTCGACACCTTCGAGGTGGTGATCAGGGATGTCAAGGGTTCCAGCAAGGGGTACGTCCAATGGCTCCCGAAATAGTCTTGTACATACCAGTACAGCAGACCAAATAAATCCGCTTCGAGGCTCCCTTTCTAAGGCTTGTAATAGTGAAAACCGGTCGTCCGTCCCCTCTGCCGTTCTCGAGAAGGAGTAGGTCCCCCCATCCCTGCGCTCGCGTGTCGACAATTGCTCACGTGCGCACAGGAAAGAAAAGGCCAGCGCCGGCGTGCTGACTGCGCGCTTCACCTGGACAGAGGCCCTCGATACCGCCGCCGATGTCTACCACGGATTCATCTTCTGGTCCATGTTGACGAGTCTTGGTGTTTTGGTGTGGTACTTCCCGCTGTGGCACATGGGTATCTCCGGCTACGAGGCCTTCGTCATGTCCACGATCCTGCCCGGCATTTTGGGAATTCGCTCGGTTCGCTCGCTGGTGATCAACAACCAGCGCTTCGTCCACCTGATTTCCTTGGTTGGTCTGCTGGCCTACCTGGTTTTGGACCCTGCGAAGCGCCTGTTCACCGTTGGTTTCGCTGTGGCTACCTCGTGCCTCGGCTGGGTTGCGACTTGGCACTCGGAGAGAGCGCACCAAGCGCGCCTCGAGTCCAAGATTCTGGCGTGGACAATTGGCCTGATCGCCTCGTCCACAGCCAAGTTTATGTGGTGGACGAACAATCCCCTCTGGCCTGTCATGCACGCTGCCAACGGTGGCTGGAATGCTACTGGCTTTGCGATTGCTGTGCTTGCGTGTTTGAGGTTTACCCGAAAGGCACCCCTGACCCGCGGCGACTACCCTGAAGACTCCAAGGGCGGTTCTTCCCTGCTCGCTGCTTTTGGTGTTGGTGGCCTGTTCTTCGGTATCCACTCGCTTCTATCTGACACCAGCACCATGATTCTCTGGGTCTGGGATGGTTACCCGATCCGCGGCCCCACAGCCAACACCTACGGCTGGATGACCATCATAGCCATGACCGCTGGTCTCCTGGTCGGTCTTTACCGACCCGGCTTCATGAGCTCATGGACCGCGTACGGTGTTGGCTGCGTGGGTGCGGCCATCCTCACCTCATACCACCATTGGTTCGGATACTACGGTGCTCTCACCACTGCGTTCTACCTCATGGGTCTCAGCGTACCGTTCCTCTCCAATGCTGCCAAAAGAAGCCCCGGTCTCACCTTTGGCCTGGGTTTCTTCATCTACAACTTCATGGTCCTCTTCCACGTCTGGGTCGTCGCTTATGCCTTCGTCCCCGGTGGCCCTCTCGTCCGTGAGCACACTGACTGGGTCATGATGACCACCTTCATCCTCATCGGTGCTGGTGTCTTTGACCTCACCTCCTCGCAGGCCCGCCGCCCCGCCAAGAGCCGCTCCTCCCCCTCCCAACACAAGAAGTACAACACCATCGCCGCTTTCTTCGTCAACATTGTCTTCCTGGCGGCGGCATTCATGCGATTCCCAACAAACGACTACAAGCCGTACCACCCCGAGGACCGCATCCTCACGGCCGGCATCTGGACCATCCACTTTTCGCTCGACAACGACATGTGGTCCTCTGAGTACCGCATGCGCGACCTTATCAAGGAACTCGAGATTGACGTTGTCGGTCTTCTTGAGTCTGACCTTCAGCGTATCATCATGGGCAACCGTGATACCACCCAATTCCTCGCCGAAGACCTCGGCATGTACGTCGACTACGGCCCGGGTCCCAACAAGCACACCTGGGGATCCGCCCTCCTCTCCAAATTCCCCATTCTCAAGTCCACCCACCACCTTCTGCCCAGCCCCGTCGGCGAGCTCGCTCCCGCCATCTCTGCCACCCTTGACGTCTACGGCCAGGAGGTCGACGTCTTCGTGTTCCACTCCGGACAAGAAGAAGACCCCGAGGACCGCCGTCTCCAAACCGAGTACCTCTCTAAGCTCATGGGCGAGTCAACAAACCCGTCCATCCTACTCTCGTACCTCGTCACCAAGCCCCTCCAGGGCAACTACAACACCTACGTCAGCCCGCTCTCCGGCATGCACGACGTCGATCCCACCGACTGGGACAGATGGTGCGAGTACATCCTTTACAAGGGCCTCAAGCGCACCGGCTACGCCCGCGTCAGCCGCAGCACCATTACCGACACGGAGCTGCAGGTCGCCAAGTTCGTCATCCCCAAGTCTAAGGACGAGGTTGCGCAGATTGAGGCGCAGAGTGACGAGACGAGGAATAGACGCGTCAGCGAGCACAGCGTGCCCCAGGGATGGAAGTTCCCCGACATGTTCAAGGGCCAGGGTGTCAGGGATCACAGGTACCACGTCTTTAACGAGCCGAGGTACTATGACAACTAAAAAGAGGTTCCGAGATATTGATCTTATGAGATGAGAAGAGGGTGGTAATGGCCGGGTTGGGCTTTCCTTTGTCGGGGTTGGATCATGTGGTGGTTGTATATCCTAATATGAGTTTATGTTAATTGAGTTACGTCTACATTTTTGTCTCAGCTGTGAGTGGGTATCGGTAATGGATTAGGTCCTGCTTGGAGTCGGTCTACGTGTCGACATATGTGCACGACAGAATGACCGTGGTATATAACAGCTACCCCACGCATAGCGTTCACCAATAATCAACGGCAATAAGACCTACAGCGGTCAGCTTCCGCGAAGACGCTCTGTCTTTGAAATACAGACGAGTTTCGAGACAGCCTGATTGATGAGAGATCGTTTTGTGACGCACTTCACCGAAACCTGCCAACTGTTCAGCGTTCCTCATCCCTGTTCCGCCCATATTCGACGCAGAATACAGGGATTGTAATGAAAGACGAGAAGGGAGTTGGCGTTAATGATACGTGATACCGTCGGTTCCGCCTCGTCCATCCCGTTGACGTTTAAGCACTTAGCAGGCGTCCGGTATTACTATGAAGCTGCCCCGGTCAAGCATCATTCGTTGCTTGCTCCCGGAAGTGGTCTCTGCGCCTTCGGCTAAGTTTATGTATGTGCTGAGAATCGATCTTTGTGAAGAGACGTGGGACGTGGGGATTGGAAAGATGTTGATTGGTATATAAAGACTGGTATGCAGGTCATGAAGTAGGTTGCAAGGGCAATAGCTCGTCTTCATGTGTCTGAGAATTAACTCGGTCTTCGGGCAGATATCTTATGGTATGGGCCCACTCACGAGGGAGTTGTCTCCGGACGAGGCACAGCATACTTGGCGCTTCATTCATCGCCGCTGGTCTCTGGTTGACGAGTATGCAGTTGAGAATAAGGAGA